AAAAGGCTTTGATATAAAAAATAGAGATAGTACAGATGGGACACCTGTGTTTTATTGTGTAATGTCTAACATATACTCACATCCATGCTTTTCTCTTGCTAGATATTCTTTTATATACTAATAATGTAGAGCGGGGCTACTTTAGATTCCGGGGGTTACTTAAGATCACAAACATTTTAGAAGATATTTCAAAAAGTTCCCAAAATCCGTCAAAATTTCTGGACTTTCAACTAACTAATTGTTATTTTCAATCATTTAGCTACATTTTCAATCTCATTTTATATTCCTGATATTAACATGTTCTGTTATACAACTACATAAACAATAGTATCTAAATTAACAGTTTTTGTCATTGCTGTAAATTTTATCTGTGAAGCAAAAAGTTGAATTTTGTTATGAGTTATTTCCCTTTGTTAAATAAATGACCGTAACCTTCTGAGGCGAGGTGAACCAAGAAATGAAATCATTAGTCACTTAGCGGGTTAGCTTTTAAAGAGTAATACATTACCATCAGGATGACGACCGGTTAACAGATCCCAACACCACATGGTGGAGATGCCGCTTGTCGTCAACGACTGATTTCACCTATTTTTGATGCCTGTCATTTTGAGGCAGGGCAGATGTTCAACATTTTCTCATTGATAATTTTTCGCGGGGTTCGGAAGAATGCTGATTTTTCCAGTTTGTTCGGTCGAAGGGCCTAACTCAGTGATTGCTTAACTTTCGAAATGTCTTCTGGATGTTTTAGTGAATTTGATGTAGATCTTTAGTAAGAAGAGTTGACAAAGTTTTGGCTATAGCAGTCGACGATTTTTATTTGCCAACGATGACATAGCAGCAGAATTTCCCTTTGTTAAATAAATGACCTTAACCTTCTGAGGAGAGGTGAACCAAGCAATGGAGTCGTTAGTGGATTAGCTTTTAAAGAGTAATCCATTAACATTGGTATGACGACCACACCACAGTGATGACTATGCTACACCAGTAAAGAAACTCAACTAGAGGTAACGTTCTCTGCTGGTATCGGATCAGAGGAGGACATCTTGATAAAGGCCTAGATATTGAGACCAGGAATAATACAGGACGAACACCAGTATTTTATTGTATAATGTCTAACATGCTTTTCTCTCAGTTAGATATTCTTTTATATACTAAGTATACATTTTTTTGGGATAATAACAAGTCAAGAAGTATTCATTCTGTCAGCTTTGGATCATCAAGATCCCGTATAATTCTGCCAACTTGAGAATTACTATGGTAACGCCGAGTAGACACCAATCTGATTAAAACAAAGATCCTATTTCGGTTCGTTTTTATAGTTCAAAATTTCGTTGTGTTCTGCTTGAAATGAGGGGTCAGCCAATCAAATGGTATGTCGCGTCGAGTGCTTGACCTTTTTTGCGTGGAACTGTGGGTAGACATTAGCAGCGATATAATTCAAAGCAAAGCATAGCCACTTGCAACATCTATTCTGATTGGTTAATCGAATGACTGACGTTATAAGGTCATATGTCACTTACTTGACATCTGACGTGAACTCCCACTATAACTTGTTAGATCTACATGTAGTGTAGGCCATCGAAAGTATAAAAGATAGGTTGCCAGGCAATGAAACATACGCCCACAACAGCTAAATCGTCCGGGCAGTCAACAAGAGTTGTTGCATATTTTTACTTTTTTCGGTAATGAAACATTTATAATATACTAAAATCTGATTAAGAGCAACAACTCTTGAAGTAATTATCAGAAAACAATTAGAATTTGTTTGTTTGTATAAAGTTCTGCCCCATGCTAACATTTTGTATACAAAACTTTTAATATCATGGATTTAGCTGTTCAAGACATAAAAATCCGTTGAAAATCAATATACTTGTTCGTCGCAAGATCTTAAACTCTGTGTATCAATCTGAAGTCAATCGGATGATAACTTTAGCCTTTAGAGCGTCACAAAGTGATCAAGGGCCATAACTTTGGCAGTAATTATCGGAAATCATTGAAAATCAATAGGATTCTTTGTCTCATGACCTTATAAATTTAAAGTCAATCGGATATTAACTTTGGCCTTTAGAGCGTCCAAAAGATTTTTTGAAGTGATCAAGGGCCATAACTCTGGCAGTAATTATCGGAAATCATTGAAAATCAATAGGATTCTTCGTCTCATGACCTTAAACACTGTGTATAAATTTAAAGTCAATCGGATATTAACTTTGGCCTTTAAGAGCGTCCACAAGATTTTTTGAAGTAATTAAGGGCCATAACTCTGGCAGTAATTATCGGAAAATCGCTGAAAATCAATAGGCTTCTTCGTCTCATGACCTTAAACACTGTGTATAAATTTTAGTTCAATCGGATATTAACTTTGGCCTCTAGAGCGTCCACAAGATTTTTCAAAGTGATCAAGGGCCATAACTCTGGCAATAATTATCAGAAATCGCTGAAAATCAATAGGCTTCTTCGTCTCAAGACCTTAAACACTGTGTATAAATTTAAAGTCAATCAGATATTAACTTTGGCCTCTAGAGCGTCCACAAGCAATTGTGGACGTCGGACGGACGGGGGGCGGCGACAATATACAACCACATTTCAATGTGGGCGTATAAAAACGAAACGAAATATAGATCTGCATTTTAATTAGTAGAAATAATAGGAATAATTATAATTAAAGTCTAGATATAGAGTAGGAATAATTATAATAAAGGCCTAGATATAAAGATAAGGAATAATTATAATAAAGGCCTCGATATAGAGAGTAGGAATAATTATAATACAGGCCTAGATATAATGACAAGGAATAATTATAATAAAAACCTAGATATAGAGATAAGGAATAATTATAATAAAGGCCTAGAGATAAGGAATATTAAGGTTTGACACCAGTACTTTTTTGGGGCAACATTAATCCAGTACAAAAATTAGAGTTAATGTTGTCAGACCAGACGAGGATATTTTGACAAGGCCTAGGAAAGGCTTCGATATAGAAAGTAGGGATGATACAGATGGGACATCTGTTGTGTAATGTCTAACATAGACTCACATCCATGCTTTTCTCTCAGCTAGATATTCTTTATATACTAAGTATACATTTTGTTTTCAGAGACAAAATGAAACTGGTGTGGGCTTTATTCTAAATTGGACAGGCGACCCTACTCCTTGCCACGTACAACCGGGGATTCAAAACCACGCCAGTCGACTCAATGACAGACTTTATGATACAGCGCGCACACGCTAACCATTCAGCCATCCAACCCCCCCTGAAGAAGAAGAAGCAGCAGCAGCAGAAGAGTTTTATCGTGTGAAACGAGTTACACAGAAAAAGTGGGAAATGGTAACTTATTATAATCACCAACAAAACCAAACCAAGAAAACTTTTCAAGTGAAGACCAATTCTCTGGACAAATTGGTGAATGAGTTTCTATGCACAAAAAAATAAATAATAAACAGACTTAATTAAATATATATATTTTTGGGGGGTTTATTTCCCAAGTAATATATATTTTTTAATTATTTCTCAATGAAATATATATTATTTTCTTTAAATTCTCAATTCAATATGTTTTGTTTATTAAATTTATCAAAGAAATCTTTTTTTCTTGTTAATTTCTCAAATAATTATTAGTTATAAATAAAAAAAAAATTTTTGTTTGGGGGGTAATTTCTCAAATAATTTCTTTTTTTATTATTATTTTTTTTATTTATCAATTAAATATATTTGATTTTGTTTATTTCTCAATTTTTTTTTTTTTTATTTTTTATTTTTTTTTTATATTTCTCAATTATTTTAATATTTTTTTTTGTGTATTTCTCAGTTACATATTTTTTTTTTTCTTTAGCATATTGACTACCCCAGTTACCTGTTAACAATTACTACCATACAATATTGACTACCTCAGTTACCTGTTAACAATTACTACCATTCAATATTGACTACCTCAGTTACCTGTTAACAATTACTACCATTCAATATTGACTACCTCAGTTACCTGTTAACAAGTACTACCATACAATATAAACCAGAGGGGGGGGGGGGGTACTAGTACCATGGGGACTAAGCTCTGAAACAATTTCAATAAACTCAGAAAACAGACTGTAATCTGGATTTTTTGAAGGAATGATGCAGCAAGAAGAATATTACATGTTCCTAGTTCAAATAAGAGATAAATTTTAGCTTTTTTTTAGCTCATTTTCTGAAATGCCTGAAATAAATGCTCCCCCGATGCCTTATACTGCCTTAGTCACAGAACCCGGTCACAAATATTCATGTGACTCAGGCATGTGAGGCATTAAGACAGAACAGTAGTTTTGGGCAGTCCAGGAGCAAAATACAAATGTGAGGTCATCCTTTGATGTGACAATCATGCATAATTTATACATACAAAATAGTGGAAAGATTGGACTTATGTGATAATTTCATAAAAATGCACATTCATGATAGTGTATCTATAAGTTGATATAATTATAAGTTCTCAAGTGGGACAATGCATAAAGTATTTATACAATACATATTGTGTTGATGCCCTTGTGCAATATCAATATATAATGTCTTGCTCTCTATCATCTAAAGCCCATTATATAAATGAAATGAAATGAAATGGGGTTTAACGTCCTACTGTTCTGCTCCTAACCTGGGCTAATGAAGACGGGCATACGCCATACAGTGTGCTATGAGGGAAATTTTGCCTGGACAGCGGCACTACGGCCTACTCTTATATCGAATTCCAACTGCCAAGGGATCTTTTACGTGCACGCCAATGTGTACACGGGACCTCGGTTTTTCGTCCCATCCGAACGACTAGACAGCTTTCCTTGTCAGCCCCTCTGTCCTGCACCACTGACAAGGGAGAACCACGCCGGAAAATCTGGATGAACTTTCTCGGCCAATGCAGGGATCGAACACCCGACCTCCTGGCTAGCGAGCTAGCGTCTTACCCACTAAGCCACGTGGACCCCCCCCATTATATAAACATCATAACAATTTCTTTATTGATGAAATATACGACATGTTCTTGTTGATAGCAAGTTTAATGACTAAAAGATGGAACTGGCTTCAAGTTCACAAAGCATTTTCAGGCTTTTAATTTAAGTTAAGAATTTACTCAATATTGTTCGTCTTATTTTAACTAAAATATAGCCCTTTATAAAACTTTTTTTTTTTAATATATCAAATACATCAATAAGAAACTATGTGTAAAGTTTTGTATTTCTGGATCAAAGATATATCTCATAAACAGTGATTGAATGTTGAGTAAATTCTTAACTTATGTGAGAGAGACATTGCTCAATATATTGATACAACACACTCATGCAATATCGATATATTACTTAATATCTCGCTCTCGACCGTATAAAGCACATATAGAAATGCACATGCATGATAGTGTATCTGTATTTTAAGTTGTTATCATGTCTTGAGTGGGACATCACATAATATACTGATACAACACTCGTGTTGATGCCCTCATGCAATATCAATATATTACTTAATGTCTTGCTTTTCACAGTTTAACATACATTAACATCATGACAATGAAATATACCCCACCTCCTTGATAGTAATTCTAACTCATACGACTAACAGACGAACCTTGCAATTTAGAAGGTGAATCAGTGATCAGCGTCACCTGAAATGAGAAAAAAAAATGATACATGATTCACAGATGTTGAAAACATTATTTATAGTAAAGATTTTTTCTGTCACTTTTTTGAATATGATACAAAAGTATATCAATTTTTTTTTACCTCATTTAAAATTTCATTTGTTTAGATTTTTGAAATGTGATACATCCTTGAATTAAACATTTTAAACTATGTACATCCTTAAAGATTAAAAAACATATTTTATTATCTAGTTTAATCTACAGGTAATTGTATCACGCTCTTGCTGGATAAAACACATTGTATCACGCTTGAAGCACAACTCTTGCTGAATAAAACACATATATTGTATAAAATAAAGATAGCATACACCATGCAGTGTGTTATAAGGGAAATTTTGCTTGGACAGCAACACTACCGCTAACTCTTATTACCAATATCAACTGTCAAGGATTCTTTAACGTGCACAGTAACGTGTAAACAGGACAAAAGTCATATCATACATCCTTTATCATTATTTTTATCTTGTATCGTGATTTGATTACCGCACTTAAAACACCCTATAAATATGCACACACAATACAAATGAAATAAGATGGGATTGAACGTCCTAGTGTTCTGCTCCGACTGGCACACACAATACAGATTGTTATCTATTGGTTCTGTTATCTAATATGATACATACTAAACTTAAACTAAAAAGACAGACTGTTTCTATAAGTATACACATAAGTTTATAAATTGAAATGGGGTTTAATGTCCTACTGTTCTGCTCCGACTGGGATAATGAAGATATGCTATGAGGTAAGTTTTGCCCGGGCAGTGGCACTAAGGCCTACTCTTATATCGAATTCCAACTGAAATGGCCTATACACAGGACCTCAGTTTTTCATCCCATCTAAACGAGAGACAGAGAGAGGGGGAGAAATAGGGGTTTAAAATCCACTGGTCACAAACAAGGTCATTTCGGGACTAACACATAGTTTAATTATTATTTCAATAATTAGATTGTGTGTAATGCTTTTTAGCAGAGGAAACCCGGAGGACCTGGTGAAAACCCACAAGGTTGTCCCGTACAAGCAGTAAGGCTGGGAATCGATATGAAATTTCAATATCGATTATCGGCAAGAATTTGTCAGCGATTATCGATAATAATCGATTATCTTTTTTCGGAAAAATCCGAACTTTACAGACCTGTTATTTGTGTTGATCGAGTTACAGTAGTGTTATTATCCTAGTCTAATACTGTGTCGATGTGCGTACAAAAATCAATTAATGTAAAATAATTAGTTGCTAAATGTAGGACTAACTTGAGTATTATTCTAAGTTCTGTTCTTGATTCATTTGAACCTTTTTTTTATCTCCGATAAATACAAAGACAATACATGGTTTCTCTTTGCAAGTGACTGGCGATCACACAGTGTTACTACTAATAGAATAAAATAAAATAAAAGGCGTCTATTGATTGGACAATAAAAAAATAATTACGGGCTTTCAAAGTAGAATTTTTATGATTGGTTAATTTAGATGAAAACCAAAGTAGAAGTCTTCCACGAAATTACAAGAGATATAGATATTTTCCCTGGAAGTCAAAAACGTGTTTTGTATGGGCTGTATCTGACATGATTTAGTAATAAAAGCGGAGTTGATCATTAATAATACAATTAGTTTTATCTTGAAAGCAGGCGATTTCTCTACAAATCAACCAAGAACAAAGAAGGGAGATAATTCTAATTTTACTATATATCACGTGTGATTGTCATTGTTCACAAAGTGCGTGACCTATTTTAGTTTCAACTAGTAATAACAACAAAAACAACGAAAATATTAAAATAATGTATTTAATCTTAAAGTTTAGGTTTTTACAATAATATATATTTAAAATGTGGCAGTTTGTAAGCAGAGGGGGGAAATAGTTGTGTTGACGTTGTGTATTCATTCATTCGTCTGCTAATGCCAGACTATGGCAAGTTCAGTCATGTGAAAGTGATCGTAAATTGCCGTCAGAAGGTAAATATACCGATAATCGATATTTGAATTTCAATATCGATTATCGTATCGCTAAATAACTTCTACCGATTATCGATTATATCGATATTTTTGCAGAGCCTTAACAAGCAGGGAAATTAAAACCACACCACTGGAATCAATAATCAATGAAAAAGCTACTGATCCAATGCACACGTTAGACCATTCAGCCACCAGGAATATGTAAAGGGAATATGCTGAAAATTTCAGTCAAATTGCTCCACTCTGAACCAAGATATTAGCGATTGAATTTTAGGCCTGGCCTCAATTACCACTTACTAAAGTCGGTAAGATAAAAAACATAGACACGATTTTTTTGGATTTAATCATGAAAAAGCATTGTGCAGCAGATCGGATTCAAATCCAGTGAATATTGCAGGCTAGCGATGGCATCGAGAATTGATTATAGTCTTGTCATGTTAATAAATGTCTAATTAATAGCTTATATAACATTTCAGGCCCAAGAAAGACCCATAATAGGCAGATTTAGCTCTTGCATAATGTATGTACTTGAAGCTGTAAAAAATTATACATTATCTAAGGTAAAAACTTTTAATAAGACTTGAAAATGGAAAAAAATTGGGTTTACCGATCTACTGAGCTTAATAAAATTTACACGGCAACAAACAATATAATTGACAACTCTACCATCAATCATCAATGACGTGATAATTATCGACACAAAACATTCAGATATGATCAGGGTGTATAAAAGATGGGCATATTCTTTCATATTCCTGATACAAATTGTATATCAAAAACATGGCTTCACTTTGAAGCATTTAAAAACTCGGCAGTTTTACGTATTAAACATATTTTTAAAAGATTTTATTCTGCAAAAATTGTAATGTGAGTTTTATTTAAGAAAGATTGAAATGATAAAATGTTCACTGTTATTATCTCTTTATAAATATTTACTCAAGTCAAGTTGAATGAATTACTTTATCAAAGTTTAGTTGAATGAATTATAAAAGTGATAAAGAAATTGATTAGAATCTGCAATATTTTTGAGGTAAACAAAAATTGCTTTTAAATATCCTATCAATGTAGTTTGAAATATTCATAAATATAACTTTATTAACATAATATAAATCAGAATGCATTATCCAGATTAAAAACAGTGCCACATACATACTCTAATTAAAGTATCACTTTATTAAAATAATAAAATCCAATATGTATTATTTAGTTTAGACACAGACTGCCATTTTATATATAACTATTACTTTATTAAAATAATAAAAGTCAGAATGCATTATCTAGATTAAAACAGTGCTATGTACATACATACTTTAATTAAAGTATTACTTTATTAAAATAATAAAAGTCAATATCTTTGGGTTATAAAATTACATTTCAAGTTTCAACAAAATCGGATAAAAATTGTGACCTCTATAGGGTCCACAACCTTGATATACCATATTTTTTACACTATTTGAGAATGAAGGGCGTCCATTTTGTCTGTCAATTTTGGGACGATTTACACGAAATTTGAACTCAGCCATCTTTAGGGTGTAATGGTGATATAATAATACGTTTTTTTTTAAATCGGATAAAAATTTATCCACAACCTTGATATACCATATTTTTACGCTATTTGAGAACGAACAGCGGCCATTTTCTGTCAATTTTAGGCCGATTTTCATGAAATTCGAACTCTGCCGTCCTTAGGGTGTAACGGTGATATAATAATACGTTTTTTTAAATCGGATAAAAATTATGACCTGTATAGGGTCCACAAGATAAAAACGCGATTTTTCGTACAATCAGGGGCCATAATTCAGGAAGTTACGGTCCGATATGCGCGAATGTCGAAAGGAACGAGATCTTTGGGTTATAAACTTACATTTCAAGTTTCAACAAAATCGGATAAAAATTGTGATCTCTATAGGGTCCACAACCTTGATATACCATATTTTTACGCTATTTGAGAACGAATGGCGGCCATTTTGTCCGTTAATTTTGGGCCAATTTTCATGAATTTCGAGCTCAGCCATCCTTAGGGTGTAACGGTGATATAATAATACTTGCACGCCTATTTATACACGGGACCTCGGTTTTTCGTCCCATCCGAACGATTAGACATTTTTCTTTGTCAGGCCCTCCGTTCTGCATCACTGACAAGTGGGAACCACGCCAGAATTTTAATTAGAGAGAGAGAGAAATGGGGTTTAACGTCCACTCGACACACACTAGGTCATTTTGGGACTAACATACGGTTCAATTTTATTTCCACGAGGTTGGACAGGCGACCCTACTTCTTTGTCACGTACAACCGGGGAATCGAAACCATGCCAGTTGACTCAATGACAGACTTTATGATACAGCGCGCACGTGCTAACCATTAAGCCATCCAACCCCCCATGTTTTTATGTACCGCTTGTCTCATTGTGTTGATTATTGGTGCTAGTATGTCAGGAGATGTATGCAATATTTTATAGTTGGAATATTGCAGGGCAACTAGTGGTTGGTTTGGTCTGAGCGATCTTTGGTCCAAGTTATCATGCACTCTATACAGTGTTCTAAGCACGCTGACAGTGTGAAATAAAGTGAAATAATACAAAAATACTAATCAGTATTTTCTCCAACTTTAAGAGTATATTAAACAAGACTGAAGTATAAATAGAACAAGCCAACAGTGAGGCTGATGTCCCCCGCCGAAATCCCCAAATAAATAGATGACACATATTAATTAATCGCACATCTATTTTTTTCCACAGTACCAAGCAGTCAAACTGATTATCAACTATACACTAAGTTTCATCACTCTATCAGATAGAATCAAAGTTATCTTGTCCCAAAGCAGGAAATTGCTTATCTTTGCTTAGCTTTAGCTCGATATGTTAATCATTGAACTCAGTCAAGACGATCATCTACATCAAGTTTAAACATTCTACCTCAATTAGAAGTGTTGTTATGTTCCAAAGTCGTGACCAATCAAAATGCGTATTGCTCATTAGCCTAAGCAGAAAATTCTCATCATCGAACTTAGTCAAGG